CCTCCCCTCCCCTCGGCCGCCTCGCTAGCGCCCTCCCCTTCGGTTGTGTCACTATATCCCAACCCTCCCCTCGACAACTTCTGAGATTCGAATATTTGCTGTTCAACGATACACTGGGATGATTTTCATGTTTCTTTTCGTTCTTGTGCCACGTGAATACCCTGGGGTCTGTTTGCTGATGCGTATTTAATTAAAAAACAGCTCTGAATTCTTTCAGTCAATTGAAATTTCTTTATAGAGCGTAATATGAGTTGCATCCTGAGATTTTGAGGCTTTATGTTTGCAGTTGAGATTTTATGTGATAAAACTAATAGGTATGGCCTTTTAAAATCATCAGGAAGTGGGAAGATATTTTGAACAGTGCGTGCAGAAATCTTCGGATCCGTTATCCTTGCTATCAGAACCATCGTTTTCCTTTTCGTTATATTTCAAACGGGAAACAAACTTGTCAAAAAAAAAATTTTGTTTTGACTTCTCCCCTCTAATTTGTTTGTTTTGCTAAAGTCTGTAAACAGCGCAGTGCGAAGCGCAGCCAGGAGTATCTTATTGGAAGCTTGTTTTGTAAGCTGTAACTTTCACAGGTTTGCTGTAAAATTAATTGAAACTGTCAAACTACTACAACATTTAGCAAATTTTTTATAAAAATAGCAGTAGCTTACAATAATATCTTGACATGTCTTCACAGATTTCACAGATGTGACGCATTGGAATAGCAGTAGTGTTTGGTAACACTGTGACGAATTGGAGTGATAATTTTCAAAATGGCAATGAGATCGCTTTAGCATTTGATAAGATTGTGACAGTCCTGTGCAATGCTGTGATATTTCAATGTAGTATCCAGTGCTGCATGGTCAGCTGTGGCCATAGTAGCCGTTAGTTATCAAGGCAGTAGTATTCAGTGGGACGGTGAAGGTCGTTAGATACTCTTGACCTCATTAAAGGAGCGATCAGTTGCAGAAAATCAGTTTGTCAGGGGGAGTTCAGCGTTCTTCTAGGTCTTCTTCTTTCTCTTCCTCACCGGTAACTTGAACTCCTTCCTGAAATGCAGCTCTTGCTTGTGTGTGAAATTCGCTGAATGAAATCAGTTCAGGCACTGTAACAGAAGAGGCATTTTCAGAAAACTCTCTGCAGAACATTGCCGTTTATTTCCCATGCTTTCCACCTGCTTGTGCTGCCGTTATTTTAAAAACAGATAATTTTAAGTAAACATTCTTTTTTTCGGATCAAATTGTCCCTGGGAAGTTTGAAGGGGGGAGGGGGGG